GGGTACACACTGGACGCCATGAAACTGCCTGTGCTTTGCCCAGTGTTGGGTGGTAGGTTGGCCATTTTTGGGTTGCATTGCCACTCCCGCTTACTTATGCATACATGACACGTGCAAACACATTCGTACTGCATCTATGAAAATTTAGCTGGCGTTTGAGCATAGTGGTTTCGTGACATCGGCCCGGATGTGAGGCAGGCCATGAAAGAGCCGGCGCGGTGAGAAAGTTATTTAATCTCTGGCCACCCATCATCAAGTTGTCTATGGCTTGAGACCAAGCGGCATCTCCAGCCGGACCGGCGAGATGTCCTTTCCCAGGTTTGCTGACGGCAACAGCTAGGGCAGCCTCAAACCGGGCACTCCCAAAATACCCGGGCCCTCCCAAAAAGGGCTCCCTCAGACAAGACCGCACCTCGCGCTGAAAAAGAAGGAAGCACCAGGCGCCCCGATTTGCCCGCTCTTGGCGCCCAAAAGGCCAAGCTGGGCGCCATGGCCTTTTTTGAAACATCTCTCTGGGGTCATTATTTTGACGACTTCTGGGGGTTATTGAAGTCAGAAAATGGGGTTGTTTCCCTTAACCCACCACTTAGGGGGTGACTTTGATTATGGTAAAATAATGAGGCCAGTCTCCAGGCGTACCTTCCCCATTCTGAACCCAGGGATCCTTCTTTTCAGAGAATCATCAAAAAACCAGGCGAAACAGATCCAGTTTTTGAGAAAAGAACGATGGCTGAAAAGAATGGTTGCAATCAACTCCTAGAACATCCCCCAACTTAAAGAGATCATCTTTTGAAGGACTTTTTTTTGGGACGTGTGCTACAAAAAAAAACATAAAACCCCAAGCTTCTGAGAGCCAAAATCTTTTGGGATCTCAACTTGTTGACACATGTTGGGACCCGGGACTGGCTCAGGAACACCACTGCACTGGGCAGCCCGCAACGGCCATGCCAAGGCGGGCAAATCGCGGGCTGGGTGCTTGGGGAGGGCTTTTCCCGAGATCGGGTTGTTGAAGCACCAATCTGGAAGCTGACCCTCAGCTCTCAGACCAGGCGGCAATTGCTTGTTTTCTTTGGTGCATGTTGCTTGGATGTTAGGACTTCAACTTTTGGCCAACTAATGGGTTTTCCATGAAACCGCTAAAACTTATTCACTTTTAGCAGAGGAGCAGAAAGCAACCGAGTTTTAGCTGTATCGGACGTGGTGAGTTCATCTTCGCATGGACATCCACTGGGTGTTTGGAAGCTGATGAGCCACTGGCGAAGCTGATTTTGGACCGATCGGTTCCTTTGTTTGGGTTCAACCCCCTTGGGTAACAGCCCTGACTTGAATCATCTTGAGCCCCCTTTACCAGGTTGTAACCTGTTGGTTAAACAGCCAAGCACCCTATGTTTGGTTCCTGAACCAACGGAAAAGGAACTCAACTATTGTCCCAGCAAGCAACAAAACATATTTTGTTTGCTTGTGTGTTTTCTTCCTTGGTTTGCCCTTTAACTTCCCCATGTTGCGTCACCCAAAAAACACGTCCCAAGTTGCCACTGCATAGCAACGCCAAGCCCTGGACCTGGTTTCCCCTCAGCAAAGATGCCTGGATGAAGCTCAGATGACTTCCACCAGCCCCAAAAATATAAACTACACAGCTGCTAGCCAGTATATAGCCTGTTTGTAAAGGGTACCTATATATGTATATGTACATCGAACATCATATATATATAATGCATATATCACATCCGCGAGCCACATATATACATATATATATGATTTATATGATTTATATATGTCAGGTTGCTATGGCTTCCCCTTGAAATTAGTCTCTGAGTGAATCGGTTTGACTTTCATCACGAGCTCCTTCGCCCGGATCGAGTCGGCGATCCGGCCGAGGTGGTGGAGATTTTGCTCGAGGCGAGAGCTGAGATGAACGGCAGCTCGGCATGCAACGTCGAGCAGCAGCGAAAGGCAAGCATCCCCATGAGAAAATGGCGCAAAAGTGACAAGCCAGACGAGAAGAAATCGAACTTCTATCTTGCATGGAGTTTTGGCTCAGTCAGGGAATGAGAACAGTTTCTCAAGTTGGTGATGTTGCATCTGCTCAGATGTTTTGACATCTGTTGGAATTAGGAAGCGTGGCTAGGTTTTGCTCAGTGCTAAATAGCCGGTCATGTTCAATGTCCCGAAAGGAGCCCAAAGGGAATGTGTGTTTTTTTTTTGGAATCTTTTCAGATCCCCCATTTGGCACCCAGTTCCATGACTCCTGTTAGGAGGCGTACGACCGGCATTCGACGCAATTAAACAGGAGCGCTTGGAGGGAACCGATCCCAGAAGGAAGGTCATTTGCTTCTGGATCCCTCAATTCAGGTTGGTGAAAGGTAGTAGTTTGTGCTGATCTGTTTGACTTTGTTCAAAACTCCTGAGGGAAGATTTGTTCCGCGGCGCGTTTTGCCAGCCCGTTCAGTTTCTCTTGGTACCCAGACATTTTCCCTTAGCTCTTGAAAGTATCGTACCTTGAGTTACCCACTCCCAGTTGTCCAGTGACCCTTGCGGAGAATTCGTTTTGTTGGGTTGGCCAATTGTTTATTGGGGAACCCACCAAACAGAAAGAGGCAAAGGGTGGAATACACTGAACGACTTGTAATTCTGTATTTGTCCTCATTCCCGAAATCTCTTATCCAAACCCGTCCTTTCTGGATATCTAAATAGTTGGGTTAAAAAAAAAGGATTTTAAGAGTGCCACTCGACAATGGGACATTTTGGCAGTTTGTCATGCTTTCATGGAACCCTCTGGTAAAGGGATTACGGTTGTCTCATTTTTATTGGGAAGCCAGAAAAAGGGTTTCTTGTTCGCCTTGTAATATGGGCAGAATATGGGTGTATGTTTGAGGCTATGACCTCTAGCCGTGCTTAAGGGAAACCAAATGCGACACCACAAAATTGGCGGGGAGTCCCCCCCACAAAAATGGCACACGCAATACGTATCCAGCGTCATTACGCCTGTGCTCAGGTCCAGATGGAACTGGCAGGCCTGGATCGACGCGATATTTTCGATTGGCGGGGTTCCCTATATTTCACTTGTGTTGGGTGGTGTTTCTCTTTTCGGATTATTTGCGGCTGTTTTCGGAGATTCGCGGCTTAGATATCCCACCCGGAATATCACGCATGGGGCCAACCAGAGCCAATGGGGCCATGTTGTTTTGAACACCTTCGATCCAATCTGAAGTGCTCTTCTTTCTAGTGGCAATTAACATGCCGGGTGATGTAGGGGGAAACATAGGAAGCCAAGCCCAGTGTCACTGCAGCTTTTTGCTAGGCGGAGCAGTAGGAGCCACTTTGAAAACGTTTGAACATGTCTTCTGGGAGAGGGAGAGAGAGAGAGAGAGAGACGGAGAGACAGAGAGACAGAGAGAGAGAGAGAGACAGAGAGACAGAGAGACAGATAGAGAGAGAGAGAGAGAGAGCGAGAGAATGACAGAGAGAGAGAGGGAGAGGCAGAGAGCGGAAGGAGAAAGAAGGGTCTTGCTGTAGCAGACCAAAAAAAAGCGAAAATTGAAATAAGGTGGCTCCGTTTTTTCGAAGTGTTGCCAAACTCACTGCTCAAGTTTCTGAGACTGTGTTTTGCGGGGCTAAAAGGGTTTGCTCTGAGTCTTCAACATTTCATATTTCAGTGTCTCCTGAATATTTAGCGACGAAGTCTGCACATGCTTTTTTGGATACAGAGTCGGATCAAGACTGTGCCCGGGTTTACCAGGGGTTACTGCAGGGGGGCGGGGGGGTAGGTTAGATCCCACATTCCTACTCATTGCTCACTGCAGGGGGCCTTAGGTTCAAATACGTGACAAAGGCAAACATGAGCTTTCTGTGGCACCGTGCACCGTGTTGTGTTTTGTTTATCCCCGGAACACCCTTTTACGATGGTTGATTGGCAGTACACACTCTATAAATGACGTCACATCTCAGGTTCATTCATACTCATGACTCATACCCATTCAACAATGTCCCATTGAATCCTAATGGCTATAAAACAAGAAACACTAATAAGTACCAATAACAATGTACAAAAAAGTGCCAAGATGAGTGTGAGTGTGTGTGTGTGTGTTTTGTTATGGTAGACTTTTTGTTAGGTTAGGGAGCCCAGGGAAAAGTCAAATTTTGCGTATCACCCCGCATTCGCAAGGACACCTCTGGCGCTGGCCCTAGGCTACCAGCAGGAGGAGGCGAATGTCGAGTGACCCGGGAAGTGAGGGCCGGGTGCTGGGCTATTGGGGCCATCTCAACCAGCAGTTTTTTTCCCATTTTTCCGTTTTGCTCGGCTTGGTGTAAACCAGCAGGTTTTTTGTGTTTTTGTTCCCTTTTGCTTGGCTTGGTGTTTTTTTTACCCGCCCCGGCTCGGGCATAACCCCGGCTCGGCGGCTGGATAGTTGGTTGGTTGGTTGGTTGGTTGGTTGGTTGGTTGGTCGGTTGGTCGGTTGGTTGGTTGGTCGGTTGGTTGGCTTCCACAGCATCCCCTTTTACTTGGCGTCAGGGCTGCGTAGTGGCCGTGATTGGTGGTAGTTGAGAGTTGCTCGGGTTTAACCAGCCACATCCCCAGCATCACCAGCCTCGCTCGTACTAGGGATGCCTATTGTTTTGGTGGCAGTTCAGAAAAATTGCTCGGGGCTGGTTTGGGATGAGTGTTGGGCTTGCTGAGGTCTTAATGAGGGCGGGTCTTGGGTTTGTTTGGTTCATTTAGGCTCGGCAAAGGGCTGATATCCAGGATGCAGTTGGGAGGGTTTAAGGTTGACTTTGAGTCGGCTTTGTTTGGTTTGGAGCTGACTTGCACTAGCTGTACATCGTTTTTGCAGCAGCTTTTGGGCTGCTTCGGGGCGTGGTTAAGGAAGTTTTGGGCTGGTTTGGGCTTGGTTGTGGGATGAACCCAAACAAACCCAAGACCCGCCCTCATGAAGACCTCAGCAAGCCCAACACTCGCCGCCAAACCAAAGCCATCAGAGCATCCCGAGATCTTGTACGAGCGAGGCCGGTGCTGGGGACGCGGCCAACGGACCTCACTTGAGCCACTTGCTCAAAACCCGTGAAGGTTAGTAAGGGACAATCAATCCCCTGGCCATAAATAGCTGCGGCCGCCTCCTTAGTTCTTTAAAATGGTTCTGGGGATCGACCATTTTAATAATTACCGGTTTTGATTATGACTCACCTTTCTGCCAACCAGGGCTCCAGAGCAGAACGCCTGCTCCCCCCCAACCTAAAGCCGAGGTGAGTAAAACACAAAAACACACAAAAAAAGATAAACAAAACCATCCTCAACCAGGGATCACTTCCTCATTCTTGAAAATCTTTAGTCCAGACAGGGGAAGTCAAGGTAAGGTTAGACACACCAAAATCCAAAGTAGCGCCCAAGGTCCCACTGGCTGCTTGAAAATGGGCTTGTACTACTTGGTTTAAGGATTATAGCAAGTAAACCTCTGTGATGATTTTAGTAGAACACAATCACAAGGTACTCGTACATCCAGCAGCTCTGTTGGTGTAAACATCTGCTTGACTCAGTTGTTCCCTTTGTGACACAAAGTCCATGGCTTGCGCACCGATTCTTTTCTCCAAACGCTCGATCCGCTCTCGGCTGATCAGGCGGTGGAGATTCTGCGCAAAGCGGGCGCCGAGGCGGGCACAGAGAGCGGAGGTAGGGTCACCTCCTTGAAGCATGATTGGTGTTTCTTTTTTAGGGACCTCCCCCCCCAAAAAAAAAGAGAGGGGGAAACGAAGTGGTGCATGATTGTCTTTTTTTAGTCTTTAGGAACAGATACTTCATACTCTGGCGTATGTTTCATGCCTCTCGAATGTAGGGGCGGGTTGGTTCTTGGATGTACAACTCACTTAGCAGGTAGGTTAGAGCCATCGTGAAAAAATGAGCTTACCCCGTTTCTCCCAGTTATATCCAGGTTTACGACCTACTTACTATGTGGATTGAACATTCAAGTTGGATCCTCATTGTTGCTCGTTCGCCTGCAGGAGCAAGCCAAATGATGCCACGCGATGACGCTGGCGTCGGTGGCCAAGAACAGATTTCTTATGCCTGCTGGAGATACCGTGTCGCTCGGCCGACAAGCTCGGCGAAAATTCAAGATGTAAAGGCTCGACTTTGTCCTGGCGACATTTAGGAAGCTTAGGCACGGGTGTGTCTTTCTTCGAGGGTACCCTTTTGACCTTGGTTTAAAGGGAGGTCAAGCGGGAAGCCATTTTTGGAGATGCCCCTACTTTGAGACACACCCATAGCGCGAGACACGGAGAGCATGTGCAGCGCACGGTAATTCGCCGCGCGCTTCCGCAGAAGCGCGGCGGGAGCTTTCGTAGTTTGGGGAACCGCATCCGGTAGGGATGCTAAAGACCAGTTTCCTGGGCGCAGAGTCCAAATCCAACGTGCCTTGCTACACCGCCTTTGACATGAAATTGGGGGGTTGGGGGTGTACACGGGGTGACCCCCCAGAATCCCATTTGTAGTCTCTTTGTTCCTTTTGTGGGGAAGAGCCCCTTCAGGGAGATGCCTTGCTGCTTTGCAGCTCGCATGCGTGCTTGACATTCTAGTGTAATCGGCAAGCCCGCGCATCCGCAGCCAGACATGAGCGAACTGAGTGTTTGGACGCGCGACGGTCACTCAAGGAGCTTTGAGTTGGCAGAGTGGCAACAGCTCTTGGCTCAAGTTTGAACTACGTACTGTGGATGGACGACATCCTGCACCACTTGGAAATCATGGGAAACCATTGTTGATTGGTATTTGCAGGGGAATCAAATCATTCCAGGGTTCCTTAGGTGGTGCCACTATTAACTAGCAGGACACCAGCTGCTTCTTCTTGCTTGGACTGGCCTCGAAAGGCTCGTTGAAGCCAAGGCTTGCGGTCAAAAGCATTCAAAAAAAGGGTTCGTGTGAAGTAAGGGTCGATTGCTTACAAACAATCAAGCAGGGGAAAAGGAGTATCCAGCAATTTACCCGGATTTTGTTCTTCAGTTGCTTTCTATTTGGTTGGGCTCACACATCCCAGGCAACTCGTTGCGTGGTTCTTGCGGAGTCGAAAACTAGGTTTTGCTGCCTCCGGAACACCTCCAAAGGAGGGAAGCGACATTTCAAAGTTGGATCTCATGCTAACAACAGATGAATCGACCAACCAGTTTATTTTTTGCGGGGGTGGAGGCCCCTCCAAAAGTGGTCTGATTCCAACCACAATTCACCCAGTTGGACGCCGGGACCCCTATTCATCAGCCAGGGGTCAACATGAATCCGTGGTCGGCATGAAAAAAGGTGCCATGTCAGAGTCTGCAATTAGTTCACCTACACGGACCAAGTCTTGCGATGTTTGTTGCAGAACTCTTATGGCCCTTCACGGTGCTCCTTTTTCATCCTTCAACACATCCCATGGAATACGCATTGGTCAACCGCCGGCCCCAAAGCCTCAGCGGATGGATGCGTTTTCTTTTCTTCTTGAGTTAATGGGTAAGCAGGGGGAACTGACACCTTGATGTTTCCTGACAGAAAGGGTCAGAGGGAAGTGCCAACCGCAGTCGAAAGTTCTTTCAGTATCCCCCAATCGCCGATTCGCACGGATTCGCGCGGGAGCTCGAATTAGTTTGGCCATGGTTTCAAGGACCCGGCTTGCGCTGGGTGACGGCTGGAAAGTTAGGTCGCAGTACCCAAAATGGGTGCCGTCGCTGTCTTGAGAATGGTTTTCACTTTTTGGAACGAGTCTTTTAATACCCGGGTTTTGAGTGTGACTCACCTCACACTGGTGGTTTTGTTGGGGGTTTTCCTTCAAAACCAAATATGGGTACACTCAACAAAAGGCACGGCCTTATGGGTTACGCCTGGGAAGCAAGACTCTTTTCGTCAAGGTCTGCATGTCGGAGCTGAAAGCCAGTATTTTGAAGAGCGCCTTGGTATGGGTGAACGCCATGCATGGAAAATCCTTTTCCAAAACGTGGGCTTTCGGGTGCAATAGCCCTTGCATTCGCTCTTTGGTGGGTTGCCCTGGCGCGAACGCGTGTCACGGAACCTGATCGATGGCCTGAAGCATGTCGCGCGTGTCGCGGTTCCCAGTCCAGGAGCCAGCCTGAGGGCATAGATATGTGCGGGCCTCGTTGAGCCGTGGCTATGACCAGGCGGAGGGCTGCCAGTTCTGACGCACAGCTGTCATGTCAATGTGGTTGCTGGAAGATTGACCCAAAGTCCCCACAAAAAAGCAGGAGACAGCCGATGACTTTGCTCGGGGCAAGGGCACTAGGTACGGGTTTTAGACGAATGGAGGGGTCTTTTACCGCGTACATAAGGGGTACATACATCCGTACAACATTACATTTCATTACACTACGTCACAGTATACTGCATGTATTACATTACATTATATTGCATTACAGTACAGTACTGTACAGTACATTACGTTGCATTGCATTAGACTCATACATACATACATACATACATACATACATACATACATACATACATACATACATACATACATACAGACAGACAGACAGACAGACAGACAGACAGACAGACAGACACACAGACACACAGACACACAGACACACAGACACACAGACACACAGACACACAGACACACAGACACACAGACACACAGACAGACAGACAGACAGACAGACAGACAGACAGCCATACACATACACATGCACATGCATGTACACGTGCACATACACGTACACATACATAGAGATACATACGTACATACATGCATGCATGCGTGCATACATACAAACACACAGACATACATACATACATACATGCATACATACATACATACATGCATAGATACATACATACATACATACATACATACATACATACATACATACATACATACATACATACATACAACCATTCATACATACATACATAGATGCATACATACATACATACATACACATACGTACGCACATACATACATACACAGACATACAAGCATGCATGCATGCATGCATGCATGCATGCATGCATGCATGCATGAATACATACGTACATACGTACATACATACATACATACACACACACACATACGTACGTACATACATACATACATACACGCACGCACGTACATACATACATGCATACATACATACATACATGCATACACACATACATACATATGTACATTCATTCATACATACATACATACATGCACATACGTACGTACATACAGATACGTATGTACGTACATACATACATGCATACATGCACACACAGACATACAAGCAAGCATGCATGCATGCGTACATGCACATATACATACATACATACATACATACATACATACATACATACATACATACATACATACATGCATGCATGCATACATGCATATGTACATATTATATACACACATATATATATATATATATGTATCGTGTTACAATATTATATTGGTGGCAATTGGCATCTGCACCTTCAAAGCCCATACCTCGATACACCCTTCAACTGACACTTGTTTTCTGGATGACATGGGGCAACATCTGAAGTTGAGCTTGGGGCAAGCTAAAAGCGCGGAGGCGCACGTGCAAGGGTCGTTATATTTCTCTTGAGGGTAGGATGACAGATTGCAGCTGTATGGCTGTTAAATTGGCTGGGGTAGACTTAGGATAAACTTTTACATTGTATGAGTGACTAAAAGTGAAGCAAACAGTATAATATATATTCTATAACTGGGCCTAGCTCCAGTCATGTTGGGTTTTCCCTTAGTTGGCAAATTCGTTGCTGACTTGGGGCATCAGCTAGTGACTAGTGTGTCTATGGTGTTCCTGCACAACACACTTTGGTCAACTCATGGAGACCCGTTTCGAGGGGCAACCTCCTAGGGGCAACCTCCTCACGCGTTCTATGGATCTTTTTCGCGAAAAGCGCCGAACAAAAAGGCGAGGGGAACCGGCTGGTTGTTGACAAGAAGGAAGGTTGAGCAGAACAGACACGAAATCAGCCACTGGAGCCATCCCCTGTTTCTTTGCTTTCCATTTGAAACCGCATGTGTTTCCTGCCTCACTCCCTGAGTTCTTGAACATCTTTGGGAAGATAATTTTCGTGGCAGCGTGGGCATATCTGGGCCGCCGAGGTTCCCTTCCGCCTTCCGCCCGTTTCTGCCGCGACTCGTCTGCCGAGGTCTGACATGACCATGGCGGCTGATCCCGCTCCCGACCCTGAACGAGGATCGCGAGAGATCGGTTTTCGCGAGAAACGAACGGGTGTGAGTTGTTCGGGAAAACCACTCACTTTAGGGGTTCCCTAAAAGACACACCCATATGGTGTGAGTTTTCTTTTGAGGTTACCCTTGATTGCGTGATTTTCATGGGGGCGGTTCAATTGAAACTGCCATTTTGGGGGTCTATACCGCCCAAAAGATGCACACTGAAGGGCCCCCAAATAGAATACAAACAGTCTCCCCTTCAACTTAGCATATAACAGCATGAAAGGAGACTGCAACTGGAGGTTCCTCTAGTCTAAACACTGTTGTTTTTGTTGGAAGCCATGTTTCTACAATCTGTAGGCGAAGATGGAACCAGACACTGTGTATTGAGCTCATCGATTCCTGATCGTCCACTTTCGAATCTGAGAGGTTCTCTACCCCCAAATCAGGGAAATGGTCGGTCTACGGTCATAACCGTTCAAGGGCTGTGTATCCCGTTGCCCCCCTTCTGGGTGGCTTGAGGGTACCTTTCTTAGAGGAGGAGGCGAAGCCCAAGCCATTTGTCAGGGCAAGGTATATCGAGGCCTTCAGCTTGAGCTGCGCCCCACAATCGCGCTCGTTTTTTGGGGTGAGGCCCAGAAGTCACAGCGCCTCTTGTCTTCCTTGGTATATCCCTTCCCGCATGTGCCCCGACCCAAACAGTTGGGATGGTCGTGGACCTGAAAAGGGATCTTGACAACATGATGAGCATTTAGATTTTTTAGAGAACAGTTCAATGACCCGCACAAAGGTTTTTGTTGTGCACCGCAACAACATGTTTGGCCTTTTGGCGCTTTTGGTGTGAAATGTCCAACAAGCGTGAAAATCACTCTCTGGGGGCGCTACAAACATCACCCACAGATCCGAAGGGAGGAGGATACTCCGTCGAGGCGCCGTTTCGACTCGCAGGTCAGCCAAAGAAGCTGCAGGGGCCAATGCCGCGGCTCTGCTTAGTAACCATGGATCAGACCCTGCCATTTTTCGGGTCAGCCCAAAAGATTGCTTGCCACTTTGAGGGTGACTTTGACAATGGCATCCCCAAATCCTTCAAAAACTAACAGGCCAGCAGAGAAACCCGGGAATTTCGCAGCACACCCGAGGTTTTCGAAGCCAGTAACTCAGTATTGGTTTAGTCCGCGTTAAATATGGGTGTGGTATGGATGTCACGAAGCAACCCCAGGCTTTTGCCAGCTGTGTGTTTTTTGTTAAACAAGCATTAATTTGGGGCCACAACCCGGCGTTTGATTTAAAAGGTTTAAGTCGTTCGTGTGCACAGGGTAGCAAGTCGGGCATAGCCAATTGGTTGGCGGGAATGGGTTGACTCATCCGAACCTTGGTCCTGGTTGCGGACCTGGTTCCTCCAGGGACCCGGACCGGTGCCAAGAAAAGCATGTCCATTACAGCGCCCACCGATTCGTCCCCGATTTGTACCTTGGGGGTTGATCAAAAGGTCCTCATGGGATAACCAACGGGGAAGCCATTAAAAAGATGATGTTTCCCACCAAGTGGGACAAGTTACCCATGGTCACTTGGGGACCGAAAACATTGATCAACCCCCATATGAGATGTCACATGTTTACCGTCTTCTACTGTAGCAACACGGGGATGTCATTTGGCACAGTGGGTGGTTGATCAATCTCCATCGGCATTGGGGGACGCAGCATTGACCCTGCCTCACACAGCTATTGCCCGAATATGTAGGTATAAATGATGGGATGCGTAATCACACATATATGAACATATATATACATATATGTATATACACATTGGACATGCATATTATATATGAAGGGCACCTAGCCCTGCATGTAGCAATTGCCAGCTTTTTTGAGGCCGCCATCTTTCTTTTGGGTTCCCTTTGAACCCTCTTTGGTTGCCTTTGAAAACCCACACTAAGTCAACATCATATCCTGACTCTCAAATGGCCGGAGCCCCCACAGAGCCACCTGTCAAAAAGGTCACGAGCTCTCAGCTCTGCGTGCCATGGGGTCCTTCAACTATCCTTGTTTCAAACACCAGCTTTATGTGAACTGTCGCTTTTTTGCCGGAAAAGGTTTCTGGAAAGGAATGCGGTTTGAGGCGCCACGTCTGGGAGCAGCGCGCGCCGCCACGGTGGCGGCTCTGCGGCATGCACATGGAGGAGGAGCCTCGATGGCGTCCCAAAATGGCGTGGGTTGGATGGATTGGTTTCTATGTTGCCAGCTTATCTAGGTCCCCCAGTAGTGCCCTTTCACCATGTATTTTTTGGTTGGGAGGGTTCCCCTACTAAAATAGACTACAGAAAAAAGGGTGCCTTTATTCTAACCTCTCTACTGGAGGACCTAATTATGGTTTCCAAAATGTGGCCATGACACCATTTTTTTAATTCCACCGATTTAGGGGTAACACGAGGGAGAGCCATGATGTAGATCCTTTACCCCGGGATCTCTTGGGTGTTAGAATTCTGAAAAATCCCAGATGACCGGGATGCAAGCTATCTTGGAGTGTCGCCGCGTGACTCGCGCTTCAAATGTGCTACTTGTCAATGTCGCCTCGGGCTCGCTTCCCCGAGGTTCCACTATTCCCCTTGTTCAGCACGCATCCACGCATGCAATCACACACAGACACACGGAGCCATGCGCGCAGATGTAGGTCCTTTGGAAGATCCAATGTTTCTTTTTTTGTCCGGTGTTGGAATCATGGCAGATGTTGTCGCCAATATCCGTGGACATATTGCCACTACCTGTCACATTCCTCGCGCTTTTTGGGGCCGAACTTGTGCAGGAGGCCGAGCTCGTGCACCGCGCCGCGCGGAGGCACGGATTTGGGATACGCAAACACATTATATTGGATGTTTCTCAAAATGAAAAACCCCCCAACCCCCCCCCCAAAAAAAAAAAAAAGAGAGAAGAAAGATTGACTAAAACGGCGGGCTTCCTGTTGGTCATGATCAAGAGTGATCTCAGTTTTGGTTGCGCACTTGAATGAAAAGGAACTGATCAAGGCACTGACAACTCAAGAACACATGCTTCCAAACAAACCGGTACTGGAGAGATTCACAACAAAAGGCGGGCCCCATGCCTTATTCCTTGTGGAGCAATGGGGCAGTTCGTTGGAATTTGGCCGGGTCTTTGTGATCAACATGAAACGACAAGATGTGGTTTAGAGGGAGCCAAGCTTGAGAAACACCCCCAACCCCACTTGGGGGCGCAGGCGTGGGTCCACCAAAAGGGAGCCAAACTACCCAAACACACCTGTAGTGAGTTATCTGTGGGACGGGGCATTTAGATTTCGACCAGCACTTTTGTGAGGTTTGTACTTTGGGATGATTCTCGGTTAAGCTTGCATTTCATCACACACAAACAGTAAATCCAAGCTGTTGGCTTGCAATGCTGGCTGAATACATGTTGATTGCCATCAGCTTGTCCGATACAGAAAGCAAGAGAGTAAACTTCTGGGTGCTGCTCTCAAAACACGGGCGGTATGGGCTTGTTCACCTCAGCAAAAGCAGCCAACCGTGAGCATGCCCAGCGCTGTTCAAATATCACTGGTCTGGACATTAAGACATCATCCATGTGCAAGAGGGTGAATGTGAAGCCGCCCTGAACCTCCAAACCACCAGTTAGACATGGTTTGCCTTTTCCACGTTTTGTGGGATAAGTAAGCCTTTTCCCCCTAGTAGTGTAGAAACCCTTTTCAAGGGAGGCTTTTGATTTCAGTGGAAAAGGCAAACCCACCAGTTAGAACCGCCCTCAACCTCCAAACCACCAATTCAAACCGGTAGAGGGAATCTGATCTAGAAAAAGCCCTGCAGGATGGAGGGTTTGCGGCTCTGCCTGCAGTTCCAGCTGGTGATGGGCCTCACATTGCTGCTGGCAGGCCGGCGTGTCGCGCACCACACGGAAGCCGGTGGATATGGACAATGTTGCTAGGTTTTCCCAGCTAGGTGCCCTTTTGCCCTTTTTGGGAGGCTTCCCCTACTAAAATAGACTACAGAAAAAGGGCACCCTTATTCTAACCTCTCTACTGGAGGACCCAGGTTGTCTATGTACCCTCCCACAAATTAACATGGAACCTGACAGGGACCCGGTCCCTTAGGGAAAGTGGTCTTACTGGACCCCCCTGTCAGGTTCCATGTGAATTGGTGGGAGGGTAACACTAAGCATGATTAATCTGAGGATATCATGTTTGGTCTACCCCAGAGTGTAACGGTATTGGGGGGGAGGGGAGGGGTCAACTGGGAAACCCTACTGAAATACTTTGCAAAGCCAGCACACGACACGAAAAAACGCAATGTGCAATCCGGTTGGCTTCAATGGGACGCCAAACGAATGTCTCTTTTTAGGTTAACCCCCAAATGGTGGTAGAACCCACAAAACATAGGGGGTTCCTCAAACACGACACCCCTCCAAGGGTCGTTTTTTGCCACGGGCCATGAGGCAGCATGTTCATTTCGCTCGCATCCGCGAGGCATGCTGCTGTCGGCATACCTTCACGAGCCCTTGCTGCGGGTCCCTGTCCGGTGCTGGGAAGACACCTTCGGGCCTGTCAGCAGGACGCCGGGCCGGCGAGTCTTCAGGTGAACCGTGGAACCACGGGTTGAGGCACCCTCCTTTGGGGGACCCTCTATTGAGTTTCCATGTGAATTTGTGGGGGAGAATCTTATACTGTCAGACGAGATATGTTGGATATATGTCAAAATAGCACCCCCAAGATGGTGTTGGTTTCCTGGAATCCTTCAGGTTTCCTCTAAGCCCAGCCCCAAAAGGGTACCAAGCAGAATCTGAGTTTGTGCCAAGAGTTGGGCCAAGCGGCCTCTCCAGGTGCCAAGTTTCGACCCTGGAAGTCGACTGGGAGCGCTCTGGTGCACGAGTCCTTCCATAGGCGTCCTGAAACAAGGGACATGTTCTTCCCCATAGGTTCGGTCAAAATCAACGGTCTACGGTCCGTTTGGAAGGGACATGGGAAAACTCAAACAACAGGGAGCACACGTGAACTTGCTTATGTATTCTTGAAAGAAATGCCTCAGACAACTTGCCGTGCTTTCCAACCATGCTTCCAATGGACCCTTCGTTTCAGAAATCTGTCAAAGACCCAAGGCACCTGGGCAGAACAGTGGCCAAATGCCCAAAATTGTTTAGTTTCTGAAAAATGCAAATACCCAAAAGTGAGAATCAAGCACGTTTGTTGTGTGTCCCCAAATGTCCCCAAATAATTTACCGCACTGGTCCTGAACATACTTAAACTGCTCTATCATAAATCACCAAGCTGCGAATGCATGGCCTCCCGGTCTCACCTGGACTTGGCTGTTGGATCAAGCGATCAGATCGGATCCCTCCGGCGAGGATCTGGCACTTTGAGCCGCCCACCTTGGATAGGCTGGATGGAGTCTGACACGGGCATGTGAGTTTCTCTGGAGGTGGGTTAAAATACTCCCCTAGGGAGCACAAGCAAAACAGGGAGGGGATCGAATGGTAATTGAAGTGCAGGGACAGCTCTTGAGCTGTGTCTTTCAAAACCCTTTGGTCAGCTTCCACTCAGTTGTCCAACGCCGACCTTTTGACCTTTTGATTTTTCCATGTTGATCCATTTTTAGTGGCCCCAAAAGGTCGACTAACGGTGGGTCAAAGTACTCCTCTCAAAGGAAACAACGGGTGCATTCCTTCATTCCTGCTGAGCACAAGCAAGAATAGGGGATCCCCGAAAATGGCTTTGGTTTTCCTCTTCCCCTAAACGGTGAAAGGTTACCCTCAAACAGTACACCCACGGGTGTGTGTTTTGGAGGCTCGGTACCCTTTCCAGATTAAGGATATTCCTTTGGCCTTTGTTTGCGTGGCCTCTAGCTTCTTTTGCTGGTTGGGGGGAAAACGCCGGAAATTTTGCGATTGAGCTCTGAATCAGTTTCGGATATCTAGGACATGTCTCGAATTAGACAAACTTCACCTCCCGTTTGCTTGGCTTCCTCTCCCTTGTCAACCGGTTGACCCCAAACTGGGAGGAGCCGAAACTGGCAAAAATACATAAACCATGCGAATAAGAAGGGGTGGTCGTAAAAATCCAAGCCGGAACCCTTGTTTCTGCAATATTTTCCACCCCACCACCGCCTCAAACCCCGCCGCATAGCGCCATGGGCGCCATTGCCTGACTGCTATTGGATTGGATCTTTAGACTTCAACTTTTTGGTTGAAATCAAGTTGGGTTTTCCACTAAACCCGCCAACAAGTGGTCAACTTTTTGCAGGGGGGTCGTTGCAGCAACCAAGATTGGTGAGGCCCAGATTCGAGGAGCCGCAGAACTTCTGGCGCCCCGTGACTTTTGGAGCCGCCAGCTTCCCCGGCCAGGCGCAGGCGGGGTTTGGGAAATTGGAGGGGGTGGTGGTTCGGGGCCTGAGGCCGAGCTCCTAACTCCTGCGTAACTGGTGTGCGTGTGTGTGTGTGTGTGTGTGTGTGTGTGTGTGTGTGATGCCTTTCTTTCCTTCTTTTGTGTGTGTGTGTGTTTTTTTGGGCGAGGAAGGGGGAGGTACTAGAAATGTTCTTTTTTGTTTTGTTTTTGTTTTGGGGGGAAGGGGGGGGGTACTAGAACGCTGTTTGGCTGATTTCTGTTAAATTGCGCAAAGGGTGCTTTTACAGAAGTGGACGAGCTCAACTCAGGGAGGTGTTCTGTTTGGTCCCGGACCCTTTGGACATTGTTTCGGGGAGTTCTCACCAACCAATTCTTGAGGCGGTTGAGTGTGAAACTTAACGGCTACCTGGAGTCTCCTTCTGACCCTTACAAAATGGTTGGTCATTACATCCAAAATAATGGTTGATCATGGACCGGGCCATGGAGAGTCTAGGTTTTTCTGCCCAACTACTGGGCATAGAGTTTCGGGATGTTCCATGGATCGATCCAAGGCCCCGTTTTCCCAAGAACAGATCTGCCGCCTGGAATCGATCCGAAGCGCGCAAGCGCAAGCGCTGGCATTGGCACGAGAAACCTCGCGCCCAGGGAATGGCGTGGTTTCCCTTTGCTTGTTTTTTCAGCCAACTCCATCCCTGCACACACCTTCCATTTGCCTCCAATGCTCGAACATTCCACGTACCTGGACCAGAAATGACTGGTAAGTCAGACATCCGAATGATCGAACTGGAGGTATACAAACAAAAGGTTTAGGCACCTGGAGTCTCCTTCTGACCCTTAAAAAAAGGTTGGTCGTTACCCAAGATAATGGGGTCATGGACTCATTTTTTAAGGGTCATGGAGAGTCTCGACATGACCGTTAAAGACTGATGTGTAATAGTTTAGCCCCTAAAATTGTCGGGAGCCAACTTCGCCAGGATTGGTTGGGACTTTCTCGGCAGAAATCTCGGGGTGGGGAGGCTCTCTTTGACCTACCCGGAGTCTCCATGACCCTTAAAAAATGGGGGTCATTAACCAAAATAATGGGGTCATGGACATTTTTCAAGGGTCATGGAGAGTCTAGGTAGGGGTTCCATCTTCTCTTGAGACAAACTCACTTGGCTCGTTCCGGGTTTTCCTGGCTGTGCTCCGGAAATTCCAGGATCTGGCCTTTTCTGCTTGGAACTGGACGGTGACCGGGCTCTACAAAGGCCCCTGGTATCTGTGCCTTGTCCAAGGCTTGGTGTGGGTGGATGTGGGTGGATGTGGGTGGACGTGGCTGGACGTGGGTGTGGAGGTTTGTATGTATGTAGTGTGGATGTGGGTGGGTGGTGAGTGTGGCCTTTCGACCTCGCGGGCCATTTTTTCGCGTGCGTTTCGGTGCTTCGGGCACCTCAACGGATGCAGATCCAGACCAGTGGCTCAAAATGAACCAGCTGGGGGTACGCAGGTTGTTAGTCTGTTCCATTTACCTGGGGCAAGCCATTTTGGGTACAGCCACAGCCACAGCCATTTTTCGACGCATTGGTTCCATTCTGTGGCATTGGTGCCAATGCTTCTTTTTGAGCCACAGCCATTGGATCCAATGCCGGAAGACCCCTTTGGGGCGTTTTTTTGTTGGTGGGTGCCTTCCCAAAGGAGGCAAAAAACCCTTCCAGTCTTCGTGGATCTTTTTTGCGCCAGTTTTCCGTGGGATTCGTTAGGGTCACTGGGAGGGTAGACTCCCAAAGGAGGCCCTTCCAGTCTTCGTGGATTTTTGTTGCGCCTGTTTTTCCTGGGATTCGCGTTAGGGTCACGGAGTGACGGGGTTCCAGCTGGTGGCCCAAAGGTCACTGGTAGTCACTCGGTCGCATAAGGCCCTGAATGAAGATGTGACTTGGCACCTGAGACAGGCAAGATCAAGAGCCGTTGCCAAGGCTCTCCAAAAACCTCCCTGTTTGACAAGAAGTGCATCCATCTCCAGCGCAAATTCATCCAAAACCCAACCGCTCACTAATCCAACCTGTGGCAGGCGTGAATCCTGTAAATGATGTAACTTACGCTCCGTTTCTCAAAACGATGGCCCAAAGTGCCACAAGTCTCGGATGCCGAAAAGTGGCAGCGAAGGAAATTTCACCTAGACTCTCCATGACCCGAATCAAAAATGGGTCCATGACCCCATGATTTTGGGTCATGACCAACCATTTTTGGGGGTAATGACCCCATATTTTTTGGTAATGACCCCATCTTTAAGGGTCAGAGGGAGACTCCAGGCATCCCCGAGATGAAAGGAAGGCTGCGGCGTAGATCCGTTCGACGGACTCGACGCGTTGATCGATTTTTTCGGGCAGGCACCAAGCGCAAAAAGCGGGGGTGGGAGGCAGAGGCGGGGGGGAGGCAGCCAGAGGCGCAGGGGGCAAAAAATACAGAGGCCCCTCGCTCGCTCTCTTCGTCTCTTCGTCTCTTCGTCTCTTCGTCTCTTTGTCTCTTTGTCTCTTTGTCTCTTCGTCTCTTCGTCTCTTTGTCTCTTTGTCTCTTTGTCTCTTTCTCTCTCTCTCTCTCTTTTTGTCTCTCCCTTGTAAACAGAAAGCAGCACTCAAGTTGGGTTTTAGGGGCTTCGTAAGCTTAAACGGGCAATAGGTAGTATAAGGGGCGAAGCAAATACTGATAGTGTGCTCTCATAATAATGACTAAGGTTGGCTTTAAAGAATCCCTCAACCCCATTCTGATATTTGCCCATTCCGATATGGCTGTGGGTCACAAAAATATGTACCCTGCCCTGGTAAGTGGAAACATCCGGACCAAGACCTGCGGTCCAATTCCTGGTAGTTTAATTTTGACCCATACCCATATTTAGGCCTCTTGTCTCTGGTTCAGGGGCCCGAACGAACTATGGCTATGGTTCGTGGCTGATATTTCGGGTGGGACTAACCCTCACAGGATCAAAGGTGTAGAGTCAGCCGCCCTGCTGGTTCAGCTTGGCAGAGGTCTCCTCCAAACATATTTGTGGTATGGTGGGGTTGGCAAAATATGAAATCTCCTCCAACAATCTGTGGTATTTTAATTGTTGGCAAACATGAAAGAGAATCTGAAAGCAACTATTGGCAAACCTCAGAGGGGGGCCGACTTGGGGAACCTACCGCACATACAAATAGAGATTCAATGGCCTAACCCGAAGCTGCAACCCGTGTTGATCTCCATTTGCACCTTTCCGAGTTTCCAAAAACATCCTCTTCCTCCAAACATGGCACCTGTGGGAGGGCAATTACCTGGAAGCTGGGACCGGGTCCCTGTCAGCTGCCACGTTACCATGGGAGGGGTACCATGGTTCTTGTTGGGAAACATTTTACTTTTTTTCGTATTGTGGTTTAGTGGTTGAAATCTCCACTTAACTGCTAAAACCTATTTTTTTTGCTCTCCTTCCAACGTCCACCAAGGTACCAGTTCCGGACATCTCACCGATCGATCCGACGCGTCTCCGAGGCGCTTGGTGTCTCTGGGGATCCTGGCTCTGGGCTCGCTGCCCTTCTGCTTCGTCTACGGCGGGCCCTGGGAGGTGAAGTGGTGCTGCGCGCCCTGCCGAGAACGTCGAAGGTCCAGCTAGGTGCCAACTTTTACCGCTTCTTTTTGGGGGTACCCTCTTTTTGGCCTCCCCTATTAAAATAGACGATAGAAAGAAGGGTACCAACTTGTTTTGCTCGTTCTCACCCTATGAACGGGCCCCCTATTAAATTTCATACCCATGTGGGTTAGTAACCAGGGAAACCAAGGGAATAAAAAGGGGCATTCTAGCCTGAATAGGGGGAAATGATTACTGCTTGGTCCTCCAGTAGTGCCCTTTTACCCTTTTTTTGGGGGGAGGGTTCCCCTGCTAAACTCGACTGCAGAAAAAGTTGGTACCAACTTATTCTAGCCTCTCTACTGGAGGACCTAGCAAAGGTCTCGGTCGGTTTTCTCTCACGGCGGTTTTTGGGTTGCAGCGACGGGTGGACTTTAGGCAATTTGGGTTGGATGTACCCTCCCACCTTTTACACGTGGAACCTCACGGTTTACACCTTTTGGGTGGACCAGTGTCCTTTTCAAGGGACTGGGCCCCTGTCAGGCCCCATGTTAATTGGTGGGAGGGGAAGGGAAGCCAAGAGGAACGGCACGAGCTGTGGTTGATGGTACCCGTTTTGGGGTGGTTTTACATGCAAGCCAAAAAGAACGCCGCGATTGTTAGGGGGCGGCCTTAGCTTCAGACATACCCAGGTGAGTCTCCATGACCCTTAACAAATGGTTGGTCATGTCCCAAAATAATGGTTGGTCATGGACCCATCTTCAAAGCGTCATGGAGAGTATAGGTAGTGACATGTGACACGTGGTGCGCTGAGTCCTGAGGAGAAGTACTTGATGTATATGCCGGAGCAGATGCTGATTCTCCACCAGCTGAAGGTGGCGCACGAGGCCCTGAAATTCCGAAATCCGGGGGTCTGGCGAGAGCGCGAGGGTTTGGACGTGGCAACCGTTGAGGTGACCGGGTACTCATTCCAGACTGGATCCACCTAGACTCTCCTTCTGCCCCTTAAACAATGGGTCCATGACCCCATTTTCTTTGGGTATCGACCCCATTTTGTAAGGGTCATGGAAACTCCAGGCAGACACCCTTTTGAAGCTTTCATTTCTACCCGGCGGTGCCCCCTCAAAGTCACTGCTAAAAGCTTTGTGTGCGTGTTGTTTTTTTCGCCGCGCGCCGCTGGGGCAAGTTACCCTAGCTGTAAACCCACGCGCTGAAAGGGAAATCGGACACACAAGCAGAAGCTCGAAGTGTCCACCCATCTCTCCCTTGAACGGACAAACCAAAGCTGTGCTCTCGGTTTCAACAATGGTCCACTATCCCCAGCAACCCCGAAGCTCTTTTTTTGGGGGGGAGTTTGAGTGTTAAATTCGCCCCCATTTAGGATCTTCTCTACTGCTATTGGGTTGGATCTTTAGACTTCAACATGTTGGATTCCCCTCATATTTCCAAAAAGTTTTTTTTTTTTGGATTCCCCTTTTTAGATTCCCCTCTTTTTTGGATTCCCCTTTAGACAATTTCCCTTTAACCAGCAAACAATTTCACTTTTTGCTGGGGGATCTACAGCACCCAAGGTCTTGGGGCTTGGGCTTGGTCTCTCTCGCGCGAGTCGCTGGATCGACGCTGCCAGGTCTTCGGGCGAAAACTGAGCGCCGAGGCGGAGGCGGAGTTGGAAGCCTTCATGGAGTGGAAGAATGCGAACCTCTGAATCTCTGAAAATCGGGGGGCTGGGGGTTCTCCAAAAGCCGGGGACCCCGAAGACCCCTTGTTGGATGGCTTTTGAACCAAACATTTCAAGCGAACCTCTGAATCTCTACCTGGACTCTCCTTCTGACCCTTAGGGAAATGGGTCTATGATCTCATGATTTTGGGTAATGACCAACCATTTTTTAAGGGTCAGCAGGAGACCCCGGGTCTCAACGGGGGCCTAGGGGTTCTCAAAATCGGGGACCCCGGCCCTTGTTGCATGGTTTTTTAAAGGGAAAACAAGAGAAAACCACCCATTTTGCGGGACCCCCATATTTTGAGACGGACCCAAACCCTTTCATGTTGCTTCTGTTTGTGTTTGGAGCCATCCACACTTGCTTCTATTTCCTCCCATTTTCAAAATGCGTGTACAGCCACAGAATTGGGGTTACGTTTGCCCATTTGGGGTTCTTTTGGAAAATGGCCGTGCGTGGCAAGTATGGTGTTTTTTGGTGGCCCGAGCAAATGCAAGAATCCTTGACTAGAGCAATCCAGAAGACAGATCCTTCCCGATAAGATAATTTGGTTAGCGGTTTCCCAATTAGGTGTGTACTTCCTTGGGGCATACCCTGTTGGGGTTGTTCTGAAGGGACACTTAAAGAACCATAAACCATTTGCCGGGCCGAATGGGGAATATGGATTGGTTTTGAACGAATTCAGAAGCTTCGCCTGCGCCAAACACTCTCCGTGACGGACTTAGTCTTTCAGAAAGGCCTTCACGCCTGCAGAACCAGGTTGGGTTTAGATGCCCTTTCTATGTCCAGCGGCCAGAAAAGACGGACGCTCTGACGGCCCCACCCCAAGACCTCTTGCCCACAACAACCGAGAGGTGTCAACTGGAGACGGAACATAGACTGTCTTCATTTTCTGTGTAATGTCAGCCTCCAACCTTGGTATTCAAAAGGATTACAGGCGGGGGGGGGGTTCCGGCGTGTAATTTGTCAGAAGATTATGTGTACTGTCGCTGGATCGTTTCATGTTTTTTAGCTGTTTGTTGCAGGCACAAGCTGGCAGCTTTGAACAGGTCCGCGAAAATTCCGACCCTTTGAACCCCTGCGTGATGGGAGAAAGTCTGAATCCGCGCGCATGGATTCGAATTTAGTCGGGCCTTGCCCTCATGATGTGCCAGATTCAAGTTTTTTGGGTTGGCAAGGAGCGTTATCAGCCCTTTAAGGATCCCAAACAACCGATCTAGGGAGTCATATCAAGGAACCTATGAAACGAGTGGTAAACACAACCTGCAAGAGCCTGATCTAAGGGCTCAACTATGATTGCGACCACGAGAAGTGCTGCAAGTCCCCTATAGACCATGGTTGTGACAGGGATGCACCGCGGTTGGACCCTGCAAGAGTGATTGGATACCTTCTTATGGGTCACGTTTCATGACGTGCAACCAGTTGTTCATATTGCCTCGGGTGGTGATCGAGTATGTCATCCGCTCTTATTGATTGATCCCGTCTCAACCTCGATTGACCCAACCACAAAAAGTCCCATTGAAACCAAGGCCATACCTGGCGCCTCCTCCAGTCTTGTATCTTGAGACGGACTGAACACGAAACATCTGAGAATCTGAACAATTGGTCCTGACGTACCCTGTTGGGCCAAGATCTCCCACGAAGATAGGGCTCACTTTCTTGCCTCTTCGCAAAGCCGAAAGCGGGATGATTCCAAAGCTGGGCATCACGATGGCCAACTGGTTTTGAGAAGGAGAGATATTCGGGACCCTACATCCCAAGAAAGGTGCTCAGAAACCTTCCAAGAACCCCTGCAAAGAAGATTTTGCCCACCTCTGCTTGAGGGCCCTTTGGATTGCTCCCTACAAGCGAATTGGTCTGGGCTTGCTATGGGTCCCTAACTCACCCAAGCGAACTAGATTTAGATCTGTCTCAAATTTAGGCAATGGACTACCAAACGACCATCTTCATAGCATGTTTCTAGGGTATAGTTGAACCTACCATCCGCAAATGGGTTGGTCTCATCATTGGGCCCGGTTTGCGGTAGGTGTTTTGTTTCTTCTGAAAACCAAACAGGGCTCCCGACATCAGGCGCCTTTATGGTGGACGCAAGGGAAGTTGTGGAAACAATTGTGGTCTCCTCAGATGTTCAGATCGGCGCGTTGAAAGGGTCAGCCCCCCCCCCCATTGCAAAAATAGAGGTTCCAACACAAGGTCTCTGTTTGCGGGAACCATGACCAAGTTGTGGATCATGGTTGTTGGAAATCTGGTTTCGACTCGTTTCGGTCATACCAATAGACTCTGGAAAGTCAAGAAACAGCAGCAAGCTCTTTGGACAGCACCCGGGACGAAATCCATTTTGCACCACTCGGAAACCATGCTTGCAATCATTGTTTGTTGGTATTTACAGGGAAATCCTCAGAGACCAGGGCTTCTTAGGTGATGCGAAATGGATTTCGCAACCATCCATAGTAATTAAATCCTTGGATGCTGCGCAAGGATACTTGGATGGTCTGGGAGGAATCGCTAAATGACTAGTAACCCTGGTTGTGACCCACCAAAGCAATGGTTGGAAGTCCCCTGTAACTAGGGTTGCTCACCATTTAGCGATTCGTCCCGGACCAAAGCAACATCACTTCGCCGAGTTTTGGAGTCAGTCCAGGAGTCCATCTCCTCGAAGGCCTTTGGCTCGAGAACTTTTTGGTTGCCCCGGTACGGGTACCACCGGTACTGCTCACTCAGAGGAGACCACAACAACTATGGCTACTCTGGGTTTCGCAATCAAAACATTTGACCTGGGGAGTTTACTTCCACCAGGGAAGTCTGGATGAGTTGAAAAGAAAGAGACGTATGGTATGTGCATGCAAAGAGAAATTCAGGTCCAGTTCCGATATGGTCCCAAGTAGTTTCCTCATGTGAGAGGTTTGAAAGGACCCCCAAAGCAACCCAATCCAGTTTTGGTATCTCCCTATTTTGGGACTACCGCCCAAACAACATGAAGTATCAAGCACTGAATTATTATCTATAAGTATATATATAATAGAGACCCAGATATAACCATTCTCCGAAGAAGAAAGTTAAAAACGAGCAGATCATCCCGACATATGAAGCCATAAACAACATCATGTTTTTTGAGGTGTGGGTTTCCCACCTCAGTTGCGAAGTTGCGCATGGCTGATGCCGCAGGCCAGGTTTGAGTTTCGAAGGTCCGAGCGAGGGAAGCAAAATGGAGCGGCTTCACGGCTAGGCTCTTCTTTTAGGGACCCCCATTTTGGTGGTTCTTTTGGGGGGAAACCCGGAGAACCCACCTAGACCTTTTTTTCTGACCCTCAAAAAATGGGTCCATGACCAACCATTTTTGGAGTAATGACACACCATTTTTTAAAGGTCATGGAGACTCCAGGCAGGCTATTTTGGGCTCCAAGCGGTCGGAACGCCCAGCCGGTTTCTCTTATCAAGAAGCCGCATTGGGTTGACTAGGTCCCCCAGTAGTGCCCCTTTACCCTTTTGGGGGGGTTTGGCGGGGAGGGTTCCCCTACTAAAATAGTCTACAGACAAAAGGGTACTCTTATTCTAACCTCTCTACTGGAGGACCTAGTTGATTTGCGCTTAAAGCCAAAGCCAATGCCTACCCTCACCCTGAGACAGCAACACCTCCACGCCCCGCCCTTCCTGTGACACGACGGGTTTTGCGATGCAACAAGCCACGCCTAAGGAAACAACAAGTCCTACCCTTAGTAGCGACTGGAGCCAAACTACGGCAAAGTCTAAGCTTTTTTGGAGCCGGGATATTGAAGCACTATGCTAACTCACGTGTTTAATGCCCTCTTTAGCACAACATGACGAAGTGGCTGCCTGGGTTGAATGTGAATCCACAACACGTATACAAAGATAGAGCGACTACAGTATGCGTAACTGCCTTAGCAACAGTTATAGCAGCTATTTAGCATCGCAAGAAGCCCAACATCAAGTATGCCCTCGAGTCTTCTATTTGCTGAGTTGGGATGTCTCGCTTCCCCGATTGGCTTCAAAGGGGAAAGCACATCACTGGACAATGGCACCAAACACGCACGGGAGCCACTCAGAATCTAGCGTGGAGCCGGCATGAGGTGGCCCAGCTAAGAAATCAAGACATAATGGGAGCATCAAACGCCATGCATCTTTATGGTCATGCGGTGTTGATCTTTGGACTTTAAGTTTTTGGGGAAACTGTGGATTGTCCATTGGACCCACAAAAACTGAAACTTGTTCAAAAGCGGTCAACAGCAACCAAGGCATGCTTTGCAGCAATCTCCTTGACATTCCCTCTCAATGTGCAGGATAGCATAGTACAGACCTGGGGTTTGAGGATGCTTGAGGATATCAAATTGCTTGCCTTGTAAATACGCAGGAGCTATTGAGAATATGTGCCATGGTCAAAGTGCCTGCTTGCTGGGCATCAGCCGAGCTGGTAATCAACCCCTTGATGGTGAATCTCGACAACTATTGCAGCCATACCTTCTAAGAGTACCATGTCCAGGGGCGGCAGGCTATTGTTAGTTTGGGCCTACCCAATTCCCCACTGAAAACTCGGGGATGTTGTATTTTCCCCTCTTGGAATCAAAGGGAGCACTGGACATGTGTTGCTTTCAGGGGACGCATTTGCAAATGGGTCCGTCTTTTTGGTCTCAGGACCGCCAAACATGGTTGGTTTCCTTTGGTTCCAATGCTTACACCAAGCCATATAATTTCCTTGAGTTTGTCCAATTGTTGATCATAATGTTGTGAATTCACAATTTAGCAATTTGTAAACCAATTAGCGTTTCATAATTATAAAACAAGAGTTGCTTTTAAAACAGGACAACACAACTGTTAAAAAGTGTGTTTACAGGAAAAGTCTGCTAACTGTAAAAAGTACAATGTTAATCACTTTGTTCACAGGAAAACGACTATTACAATGTGTAGTATTATATTTTGTAGTTACTACTTGTTCACAGGAAGCACGCAACTTTGAAAACCAAGCAGACCAACACCCCCTTCTCGGGGGAAAGACGAGAGAGACGAGCCAGGTCCTGCGCCGTTGGTGGGTTTGGTCCTGCAGCTCCAAGAGGAGTTCTTCGGTTTTGTTTCCTCTCGCGGACTGGGATGAGACGGGCCGTGCAGGTGTCGTTTTGAGGGTGTCCTCCATTTCCCCTAGTCCCCCTAGGTGCTTCACCTCTCACCCTTTTTTTTTGGGGGGAGGGGTCCCCTAAAATAGACAAACCAGAAAAAAAGGGTACCAACTTATTCTAACCTCTCTACTGGAGGACCTAGTCCCTTGTTGAAACCTCCAAAACTGGCAGTTTTAATGGAAAGCCACCAGTAAATCGCATTTGAGAAGAACGTCCAGTGACCCCTGTCCCTTTTTAGTTGGGACACCTATGCCAGGGCTCCTTCTTTTTGGAGGGCCTAAAGTGGCGATCCTTGCACAGAGCACCCTGAGAATTTATCCGAAATCTGGCACTTTCACTGCAACCCACTAGTAAATTGATCAATTTGGATTGATTAACTTTGGGTGGCAACATCGAATGACCTCTGACTACGAAAAGGGAACTTCCGGCGGATCATTGCGGAGCAAATCTCGGTCTGGGGGCAACAACAACAACTGGTTATGTTTGGATGAAATGTCATGTTTTACGGCTTGAAGCATGTTGAGCTGCGTGATTTGGCATGCGCCTCTAGTTTTGAAAGTGTAGTGTAACTATAAGCTATAGCCAGATTAGGCTGGGTGCCAAAAGGCACATATTGCTAACTTCACCGAAAGAGGATTGATATGTTGAACTGTTCAACCCCTGTATCTAGTCTCCAGTCTAAATGATGATCGGTTTAAGTCCGGTGAGTAGCCGCAGTTCGGGTTTGATTCCCAGACTGAAACGAGCGCAGCTTTTTCCGCTCGTTTACCAATGCTTTTGTCGGAAAAAAATGGGGAGGACTAGTGCAGTTTAGTCCAGTGTTAAAGTGCGCAGCTCAGCAGATTCCTCTTTCAGCAGGAGGTGCCTGTGAATGCACATAACGAGCAAAGAAGTCTGGAAGGGCTGTCTTTGAGGAAGCCACCATTTTGGAGAACTCGGGAGCAAAACGGAAGAACCCGTGCTGAAAGGAGTGCAGGAGGTTTCCAACAGAATTCCGTTCAGCCAGACGGGTTGCTTACCGTCGACGCCCGTTTGACCGGCAGGATCACGCCGAGTTCTCGGGCCCGAGATCCCCTGATATCGTGCACGGAAACACCCAGACAATCCATGTAGGCTGCTTCCGATGAGGTCCGGGGTTGGAGGAGGTTGCATATTATATTCCCTACATGCTTAGAGGAATAGGTAGATCCGGGAAGCAATGGAATCTCTTGGCTTGATCTGTCCAAGGAAGCCTCATCTACCTAGACTCTCCATGACACTTACAAAGTGGGTCCACGACCTGACCCTATTATTTTAAGGGTCATGGAGGCTCCAGGTACGTGTTTAACATTGTAGTGTGACAAACGCACAGCATGGCCATCTTTTTCGAACACACGTCAACCAGCAATAGCCTGGCTTTGAACTTGTCAAGTCCGAATCCATACTCGAAGGCTCACACGACCTGGTTCTTTACTTGGTTGAACTTGTTCATGGGATCCAGACTCGTACCGTAGGCCCTCACTTTGGCGAAGAAACGTCAGAGTACCCGTGCCGATTTTTGCCCTTTGTCTCAAGGGGGCTCCCTTTACATTGAACCACCAAGCAAAACGGTTGCCACTCGGGGTTTGGGGCAATTCCGACTGCTGGAACCAGTGAGGGTTCCATTTGGCAATCAATGCCAGTCACCTTTCGGCCTTTTTTTTGCAGCTTTTGCTAAATATCTTCAGGGTTGGGCCAAGCGAGTATATCCATCGTACCCTGGGGACTCAACACCTGTGACTATCTACGCTTCCACGATTTGTCCCTTCGGAGAAGGGCCACCGCGCGCCACAATTTAAACCAACTTTGCCCCCCGCCCATCATCCACCAGCTTTCGTCGGTGCAAAGCAGTGAAGATGAGGGCCTTTGAGCCCAAAAGGAGCCCAAGAGTTCCAACCCCGAACAGTTGGAGCGGATTTGGTGCGGTTCAGTTTGCTTGGGGGAGAGTTGCACCATCCACCATCCACTTGGATCCCTGGACATGGTTTTGGCTGGGGGTTTGGCGACTCCCAGGAGCTGCGGGCGTACATGTTCCTCTTCGTGGAGGCCGGCTGCTTGATGACCACGTACCCTTTGGGCAGCTGGGGTTCTAATCATTTTTGGTTCTACCTTTGTGTTTGCGTCTTTGGTTCTATTAATTTTTAGTTGGAGCTGTGGCAAGAACAATCATAGTCGTTCGGTCATGTCATGGGTGTTGTCCAGGGATAGGACCAAGATTCTACATAGGGGTTGTCGCCCCACCAGTGCCTGAACTCGTGTCAAGTTGGCACTTGCAGCTATCAGTAGCGAGCGTAAACATAGCAAGTACAGTACATGAGTGTTTGTTTGCTTGCTTGCTTGCTTGCTTGCGTGCTTTTTGTTTGTTTGCCTGAATGGAGCCTCTCTTTTTTTGAAATCACAGCTGTGGTGCTTTTGAAATCACAAGTGAGCGAGCAACTGCTGATTCCAAACCAAGAAGCACCCCGGTTCTATCCTGCTCCTTGTCTTCTTGAAATCACACCAATCGACTTGACATTCTCAGGGAGCCTAAAGCCTAGGATTCTCGAAGGAAGCCGGAAACAAGGCTTCCGGAGAGGGTCTTGTTTTCGGTCCCAATCCAAAAAGAACAGGCCCTCCAGCGATCCCTGGTTCCTGTTTTAATGGTCAGCCCCGCTGAAGAAACCGACCGATGAGCATTCTATTCAAGAAAAAGGAGTGTCAGTACACTCAAGAGAAGTCAGCCAAGAATATGCGAGGTACATGGATGCCATGTAGGGCAATCGCATACGCCCGAAGGTAGTGGAACCCCTTTAAGCCGCCATTTAGCTCGGGAAGGTTCGAGGATGGCACTTCACAACTCCCACGGAGGTGATTAAGTGGCCGGCAACCCCTATACCTGAAATCATGGTTGTTGTTGGGAAACATGTTTTACATTTTTGCTCGTTGTGGTTTAGCGGGAAGTCCCCACTCAACTGCTAAAATCTAAATGTTTGCTCCCCTTCCAACGTCAACCAAGAAATGAAGAAGAAAGCCAAACCGAACATCCAAGCGGCCTTTGTGGCCCCTTTCAAGGCGCCCACTCCCACTCCGAATTCCGCCCCAAAAGGCGCCCAACCACACCCCACCCCATCCACCCTCTCCAACACACACCTGAGGGTCTCTTCACCCCCACCCTCTGCAACACACCCACCAGTCACTTCACCCCAACTCCAAAGGCCGTGCCTAGACTCTCCTGACCCTTGAAAAATGGTTGGTCATCACCCAAAATGGTTGCTCATGGACCCATTGTTGATTCGGGTCAGAAGGGGAGAGTCTAGGCAGGGTTTGGTAGGGCTGAGTAAACCACGACTCAAGTTGGGACAGAAGGAGAGTCAAAAAGGGTACCCTCAGAAAAGACACACCCACCTGGAGGGTTTGCGAAAAGCAGCTAGACTCTCCACGGCCCGAATCAAAAATGGGTCCATGACCAACCATTTTGGGTAATGACCAAGCATTTCTTAAGGGTCCTTAGGGAGCCTCCAGGTATCCACCTCGTCGCTTTACCCCACTCCGGCGCCAGGTGGCCTGCCTAGGCCATGGGGCGGCGGCCTGCCGCCGGCTCCGAGACTCGGCTGCCGGGTGGCTGGAGTCTGGCGGTCTCCCTGTGTCTCCCCCCCGTTGTCGCGCGGGAAAAACAGAAAACCCAAAAAAACAACGAAAAAAGGCGGTCTCCGTGTGTGTCTCCCCAGTTCCGGAAAAAAGGCGAGCAACTTCACCTGGTGCTCAGTGTCCTTCTTCCCCAGGCTTAAACTTCACCTGGCGCCCAGTGTCCTTTTTGGCTTGAGGGGTTTTGTGGGCCCAATTAAGCTTACTGGTGCGATGGGGAATGAGAAATGGAATGAACCTGGGGATTTTTTCTAGAAAAGCACCAGCTGGATGGTTTATTTCGGGGCCATTTGCTGGGTACCCGTTTTGGGGGTGGTTTAAAGGGAGACCAAACAAACACAAAACCACCATTTGTGGAGGCGTCCCCTAAACAGCTTGCTGCGATAAGTAGAGAATGAGTTGGATTGAACCTGCAAATTCCCCTAAAGGCAACCGTAGGAACCGGATGGTTTATAGGGGCCATTCCATCTCTCATTTCCTGCCTATCGCACCCAGCAAGCAACACCATGGGATCGATCGTCCGCTCGCTGGAGTACGGGGAGCTGTTTAATAGGAAAAACGTTTGGGGCCTTTTGTCAAAAGTATGGCCATGAAGTTTATGTAACTGGTGGAAGGATCTTAAAAGTGGCTGGCGGACATGCAACCCCACCTAAAATAATTCCCACAGGGTCCCTAATCAAAACGTACGGCTATATGGCCGCTTTTTGTTTTGGACCTTGGTGCCGCTGAAGGACTCACCTTTTGAAGGGGATGCAACTCGTAGTGTTGATGTGACTTTGGGATGTTCAGCTCACTTAGGTAGCTATTATCACAGCCATGGCTCTGAGTGGGGCAACCCCAGTTACCATTTGTAAGCAGGGACCTATCAATTGCCCGTTTCCAGATAGCTGTCTTTCTAGGGGCTTCAACCAACATGGGGCAAGAAGCTGTGAACGAAGTTAGTTACAGCCATGGTGACATCCGGCAGCCACTTGTCCCAGTTGCACACGACGTGTATTGAGTACTTGAGGGCCCTCCTGGTGCCCCACAGCCCATTTGTTTGGCATCCCCAGTTTGGGAAACCAAACGGGGAGGGATATGTGTTTTCTGTGCAGTGTTGTTTAAACACCGAGTTGTTGTCCTTCAACCTTACCATTTTTTTGTCGGGGGTCAGTTTGGTTGAACATAGGTTTATACGAAGGGACGATGCTCCAAATGTCCCACCAACATGTGAACACACCCGTTTGGGAGGTTTCGTGGGCCGCATCCAATATGATTCTAAAATATTCCCGCCCGTCGGGCAGAAATCAAAGGCAGCAGTTGGGCTTGATTCGATTCAGCATAGGTGTCCGTTTTAGATTAGTTTGGTTAAAACTAGGTGGCACTGGTGTAAGATGGGGTTTATTCCATTTACCAGGGCCATCTACTTTTCCAAAAGGCCACCTATGCTATTCCGGCTACCACTTGAGGCTGGAAAGCTCTAAAGCAAAGGCGCCATTTATTTCGGGACAAATCCAGCCGCTGATTCTGCTAGGTGCCCGTTTTTCGCGCCATGCGCGGCAAGTTTAGAAGATCAACGTTCTTCCAATAATATACCTAAAACACACAAACAGGCCCTCTTCGGATTAATGTGGAGGACTGTCCTTTTCAGGTGTGACTCTCATTTTAGTAAGGAAATATTCCATGTGGGGCTCCTCTGAGTAGGTCCTCCGGACTAATCCGCAGTGGCCATGAATGTTAAAGAAGCAACACAAAGAAGTGATCGGTGGACATGAACCCAGAACTGATGTCCACCAAAGTATCCCTATTGAAATTCGCACCCAAATCAACATTTGGGTGTGGATCAAAGTTAAACCACCAGGGGGCCGTAGGTTTTAGTCCTTGGTTCCATTTCCCAGGGTTCTATTGTGGGTATACCCATTGTTGACCCACAGCCATTTTCGTCAGCCTCTTTGTTTAGTCCTCAATCCTTCGAATCTCGCGTCGAAATCGAGGAGGATGCCTGTGGGAGGACGTGGCTTTCTGGAAGGCATAATACGGACCGGTCTCAGCTAAGCTAAGCCACGTGCGGTTTTTTAGACTAGGGCTTGGTCCCCTAAAATGCTTAAAGGGGTCCACCAATTTGAGAAACTACGGTGGGCGCTGTTGGTTGATGCTGTCAAGACACCAAAGGGAACCAATCTGTGTCAATGGCCGGGCAACCGTAAAACCAGAGGAATCGAGTGCCAGGACCTGATTACAGTGCTAAAAGTGCCAAGTTGCCAGAACGCATCCCTTGGCTGTTCAATAAGGGACAAGCGCCCTTCATTTGGGAGCCACGACTTACCATGGGTGCCAAAACTAGTTGAAGCTTGGGGGGAAGCCCTGAAATGGGCAGTGGTTGCCCTTGAAAACAGGTACTCTCCCCCGACAAAAAAAAAACAACTTTCGTATTCCATCAAAACAACCCTAACCAGGGCAACCCCCAACCCCCCCATGATGAGACAATTAGCGATTCCTCATGTCGCACCTTGACTGGCAAGCAAAAAGACACAACTTTTTGGCACCTTCGGCAGACGGTGGGTGTGTCTTGTATTGAAGTTGAGGGTACCTCAGGCCCTTTTGTGTTGGGCGCAAGCTACCGAGCACCGCAAATGCCAGGCATACGCTGGCGTGTGCCTGGCACGTCAGCCCGTGCGTGATGGCCCTGCAAAACTCAGGCGCGAGCAAAAGCGGCGCTTCAAGCCGAAGTACATGCAGTGTTGCTTAAGGAGCATGAGGGGGGGCAACCCCATTCTCATTTGTTAGGCCCTGTACCCTCTTTCCGATCATAGTGGAGGGATCGGCGGGGTTCGGAAGACTTGAGAAGGTTTGAAAGGCCGACTTTGATAATTTTTGGACAAAAGCTAGAGTCCTCTTGCAAAGACCCAGACCCGAACCCTTGGCGGGTGGTAGGGTCCCTGATTGTTGCATGGAGCAAGGGCAGTTTGGTCTGAATTGCTAAGCAAGCGCTTGTGCGAGATGCCAAGCCGTTACATCTAGGGGGGCCTTGACTTCAGTGGATTGCATGTAGGGGTTTCCTTTGGAAAGACGTCAATGTTCATTCCTGGTTTCTCCTCCAAAATCATGTTATATTTCAGGGCCGGCTTAACCCTGGCTTCAAAAATCGCCAGTCCGGGCTTGCGAGCACATAAAATCTGCGCGTCAGTTTGTAGACACGTGCACTCCGGCATCTTGAAACGCCGCGCACCTGGAGCCAGCTTTTCCATGCGTGTTTTCAGCTTCCCTCCTTTTTTTTGGGGGGCGCACGTTTGGCAACACTGGCCGAACGCAACGACACCTGGCAGGATACTGTGAGCACCTTTCACCACATTTCTGGACACATTCGACTGAAGGCCAAACGGAAACTATCCATCTTCGAGTCCGTGATTGTTGGATACTGCTTTTCGCAAACCCTCCATGTGCGTGTGTCTTTTTGAGGGTACCCCTTTTTGCATGGTTTGACAGGGACGCCAAGAGGAAAAAACACATCTTTTGTTGGGTCCCCAAAAAAAGACACGTAGCCCGGAGGTCCAGGGAACCAACCACCCATAGCAAAGCATCCATTTTTTGGGGTGAACCAACTGGCGAGTGCTGGACATGTCCGGACAGATTGTTACACTTGGGAAGCTGAGCACACACACACACATTGTAGAAGGCCCTGTTGGCATTGCTTATTCTTGGTTTGGTTTAGGACTTTTTGTAGCTTCCCCAGATCCAAGCACTTCATTTGACGCATTCGCAATCCATCCATGGGTGCTAGGAAAGCCAACCACGAGAGTCGAGAACCAGTTTGTTGTTCATTTGGACCACCTTTTTTTGGCAGGCGCAATCACACCAACCATTTCTGAAAGGGCAGGGAAGCAAACTGCAGAGTGAAATGTCTGGCATTTGCCGAGTTTTTGGGGACAGATGCTGCACCAATGTCCCGACCAATTTGGAATTCAGCAACTCACCTGAAAACCAGCCACCTAGACTCTCCATGGCCCTTTAAAAATGGGTCCATGACCCCATTATTTTGGGTGCTGACCCCATTTTTAAAGGGTCATGGAGAGTCTAGGCCGATAGCCGCCGATGCGACGCAGCGAATGCGTCAGGGAGCGGTTCCGCGTGTGGCTCTTCCACTTGGAGGGCCACTGGGCCATGGACTTTGCAAATGCCGCCGCTCAGGAGCTCCGCATCCGAATGCGAGTCGAGGCCAAGTTCGGGAAAGGTGAAACGCGCTGCAGAAATGGTTTAAGATGGTTTAAGGGGATACTAACACTTGATAGCACGGTTTAAGGTGACGTTTGAAATGGTGCTATCACAGAAAGGTGGTATGGGGCTGTAGGGATGGAAGTAAATTTGTCATAGCTTGTCCCTGATTGAAATTAACTTACTTCCGCCTTGATACCCTGATTGATTTTTCAGAACAAATTCAGAACAAATACTCTGGGTGGAAGGTGGTCACAAGGGGCTAAGGGCCTTTTCTCTCATACCAAGTGTGACCCCCTTTGAAGTAGCACGCTTCGGGATGGGCGACTTTGGTATCTCTGAACATATTGGGATGCTCTCCAAACATTGGAGACTTGGGTTTTGCGCTAGGGCGCGCTTGCCCAGAGCCGACCTTGTAAGCATTAGGTTTCTCAATTTCGGCGTATGTTAAAGTCAATCTTCCTATGTGTACCGAAGAAATCCAGGCCCCAAACAGGAGATCCACAAGTTTGGGTTCGCATTTTGGCGGTTCGGCCAGCCGAGAAGTTGAGAGCCAGCCGCGGGTTATGAATCCCCCTCAAGTGAATCCTCTGGGCTTGGCCTCAAGGTCTCAGGCTCGAGTTGCTATCCTCGCACGGGACTTGAGGCGTCCTTTTCCCCTCAGTGGATTCAACTGGGTCAAACCACCCGGAATCGGACCGCAGGTTTTGGTCCGGGGTTTTCCGCTTGCCAGGGTCCCATTTTGGGGTTCCCCAATTTTTCACCCGCAGCCGAATAGCCTCGAAAAGTTCTGGCTGGTGGCCTACTAGCCGCATTGTACCATGGAGCTGAGCATTGGCGATCCGCCCCCGATGATTTAGTCCGGAATGAATCCGATGTTCAAATTAGTTGACCACGCAATCGCTGTTCTTTCATACCAATATTGGCCCACTTGGACAAATCAGGTAAATATTGACCATGGAGTCTGTGTGTGTGTGTGTTTGTGTTTGATACTGTGGATGGACGAACTCCTGCACCACCTAAGAAACCCTGGAATGAATATTCCCCTGCAAATACCAACAAATGGTTTCCCATGGTTGCCAAGTGGTGCAGGAATTCGTCCATCACAGTAGTGCGGAACGCCCAAAACCGGAGTCGCCGATCAACGCGAGGACCGGCAGGCGGAGTTCGGCGCCAACTTCCTGCAGCTCTTCAGCGACGCCAGGCCGAGCCATCAGTGGGTTGTTTGGTTTGGGCCAAACTCTACTGCTATTGGGATGGATCTTTAGACTTTAGCTTTCTGGATTCCACTCATACTGTGGATGGACGAAACCCTGCACCACTTTCAAACCATGGGCAACCATTGTTAGTTGGTATTTAAAGGGAATTCATCATTCCATGGCTTCGTAGGTGGTGCAGGATTGTGTCCATCCAGAGTACTTGTTAAACAAGCAAAAAAAAAACTTTTTGCTGGGGGATCTACAGCACCCAAGCAAAGAGGCGCCAAGTCGACTAAAATGCGGCCAATGCAAGCAGCCGACCAAGGCGACCCAGGAAATCTCAGGCTTGGAGGCAGCTCCAAAGTGATGGATATGGAGTCCCACCTAAATTAGATCCATAGTCTCCCTATTGAAATTCACAGCCTTGGCTCTGCTCCAAAAGGGTGTTTGCATTTGGGGTTAGCTGAATGGCCATGGCTCAAAATCCCAAAGCCCGTACCCCCCAGTGAACATCCGATTCAATCCAACCACTATAATAGGTTCTAAAATGGGTGGTGCACCTACCCCAAAATGGGATCCCATTGGTTTTGACCCACAGCCAAATATGAAACAGAATTTGAAAGCAATGTTTTCTGTGTACCCCAGATTTTGGCAAACACGGACGCCCAACAAATCGGCGGCGTATGAGTTTCCATTGTATGTTGTTTTTCCAACCACACATTTGTTATGTTCACTCTTCCTACCTCTTTGTTTTGGGGTCAAACAAGAAGTTGAGTTGTTTAAAATGGGTGGATTTTATGAGTTACTTTTTGCATACATTGGTGTTACAATCAAAAAGACCTGCTTGCTTGGGGCTGGGAAGATTGGGAAGGTCATGCACCCTTCAGTAGGGATTTCGGGGAAACACGGGGCATCCTACTTTTGGTGGCGCGCCCAAGTGGAGGTCCTCTGTCCAATCGACCACTTGGTTTCGACTCCTTTTGTATTTTGCTTGTTGGTGCGGTTCTGGTTTCCCTTTAGATCCCGGACGTTCCCGGTGTGATTTCCTGATAGTTTTCTTTCGTTGGTTTTCCAAATGATTTGGTTGTCGTCGTTTCGGTTGGTTTGCTTGAGTTTGTTCTTCTTCTTTTTTTCTGGTTTCAAGCAGTCTGAAGACCAAACCACTGCACATTTGGTTGTGCCTGCTCGGGTTTTCCTCTTCCAGGGACACACTTACTACCCTTGCCTGAGATGGATAGTCTTCGTTACCCCCACCCACTAATATGTTTCTTCAAGAGGATTCTTTTGTTGCAGAGACCTTGCGTCAGGTTCTATGCTGGTGGGTGGGAAGGCTATTTGTCGGACCCCATATTTGGAAGCTGCTTGCAACGCTGGAAGAATCCGAATTTGGCTGGTTTCCAAGACATTCTTGAGCATTTTATAACCACCTGGAGTCTCCATGACCTCTAAAAAATGGGGGCGTTACCCAAAATAATGGGGTCATGGACCCATTTTTTGAGGGTCTTGGAGAGTCTAGGCAGATCTTAAATCAACCAGCGAAAGAAAGGTTTGCTCGGACAAATACATATCGAGAAGCTTTCCCAAATCAGATCTCTGGTACAGGCTTCTTGAGTCGGATGGTCCCAACCCACATTTCCTGTAGATTGCATCCCTGTGAGTCATTTTTTTGAACAGACCGCCCTCAGTCGCAGGTCTGACATAGACAAACAAAGCAATACAGCTGAGGGCCCCCCAAAGTTGGACATGATTCTCTCTAGCGGACTAGGGGGCTTGATTGAACAAAAGTCCCCTTCCAGCCATACATGGATGCGAAAGGAAATGATGGATTGAAAGCGCTAACCAGCTTCCCATCATCTTTCCTACTGCCAGGTACATCGCGTGGAATCCTCAGCACTCTGCCATGTCTGAGCTCAAAATGGGTGGTGCTCAGAGGTCAAGTACCCTTCGAGAATGGCTGTGGGTTCAAAGGTTAAAGAGTTAAAGTACCTTAGAAGGCAACCAGCCTAGAGCTTCAGGGCTTTTCCCGTTGCATTTACCCGCATATGGACAACTGACAAACAAGTATTGACAGTCAACTGTTGGTTTCGGGAGGACATGGGAGACAGCCCAAAGCTCTCACAAACAAGACCAGGGGTTAGGGCCCATGAGATCATATTGTCCGTGTGTGGGTCATATGCTCTGACTTTCAGCGAGCTGAGGTTTATCCCCATGTCGCAAACTGGGCATTTGATTGGCAAGCAACAGTGTGGATTGTGTGTGTGTGTGTGGATGTCGTTCGCATTGTCCAGCTTGTGATTTTCCAGAGGGCCTCCTGACATACGCAAGTGATTTGCAACTTGTATTGGTTGACTTCCTTCAATGCTAGCTGGAACCAATCTAAACAATTGTATAACATCAATCAGGAACAACTGGGCGTTGAACCAAGTTTATACCGGCGATGGACGGGACATGTAGCAAACCGGGTTTGAACAGGTGTTAACATGGATTTGACTTGATTTGCCCTCTTCAGAGCATGAGCCGGCTTTCCAATCTCCCTGTAGCAGTTTGTGGGTTTGACTTGTTGCTGGGTTGGTCGATCTGTTATCGTTTGCAAAGCTTACCATAATTGCCAAACAAACCCAACATCATGGCGTGGGACACTCTAGAGACCAAGCTCAAGGGTTCCAACTTGCTTTGGATCCAACCCTTCTCATGAAACTAACACTTGCACAAAAGGTCTTAAGGCTATCATGTTTCGGCCTTGTTGTTTTCAGTGGGCAGTTGTAACAATCTCAACCCCTCCCCCCACCACCATCTTTCCAAGGGGTCGTACGTCAGCCGCACCCCAAACCACAAACTCCTGGGGGGTCCAGATCAAGTTTTGTGGTTTGTGATACTAACACAAATCCTATACACAACACGCGGTGGTCACAGGAATAAGCAAAAAGCTTTCCCACCATATGGGTCCAACAACCATGTTTGGGGTGCACACTGTCCCCCACAGCCCCCACCATCCCCCAACATCTTTCCAAGGGGTCTGAAGGCAGCACCCTACACATCCCTTTCGTTGGATCCGTGGCTTTGGGCTTTGGGTCAGACTCACCCACCCGCTCGCTCAACCACCCACCCAGCCACCCACCCACCCACCCAGCCACCCACCCATCCACCACCCACAGCCACCCACCCACAGCCACCCACCCACCCACACCCACCCACAGCCACCCACAGCCACCCACCCAGCCACCCACAGCCACCCACCCAGCCACCCACAGCCACCCACCCAGCCACCCACAGCCACCCACCCAGCCACCCACAGCCACCCACCCACCCACCCACAGCCACCCACAGCCACCCACAGCCACCCACCCACAGCCACCCACAGCCACCCACCCACAGCCACAGCCACCCACCCACCCACAGCCACAGCCACCCACCCACCCATCCACCCATCCACCCACTCACCCACCCACACCCACCTGCCCACGCACCCGCCCACCCCACCCACCCACCCACTACGCACCCACCCACCCACCCACCCACGCGCCCACCCACCCACCCACCCACGCACCCACCCACCCACCCACCCACCCGTACCCACCCACCCACCCACCCACCCACAGCCACCCACCCACCCACACCCACCCACCCACCACACCCACCCAACCACCCATCCACCACACCCACGCACCCACCCACCCAGCCACCCACTCGCTCACTGACTGCGTCAGGTCGGGGCTGATGCCCTGGGACAAGGGCCCAGAGGTGGACGCCTTCGCGCAAGTGGCGTGCTCTCTGCTCTCGCAGCCCGGGAGCTCCAGCTGGCGGAAGGGCCGAAATCTGGACTCACCCGGGTTTCTATGGCGTTGGATACTTTGACGCTTGGTTGTAAAGGTTTTTCTGTGGTTTTGATATGTTTTGACTTTTGGCTGTGCAGTAGAGGTTGTTCTGCGGTTGATTTGTTCACTGTTGGGTTCTAAAGTACCCCCTCCAAGCCCCATTCTCATGGCTTGGCCCATATTGCGACCATTCTCTTCCAGGCTCCTTA